AAACGCAAAGCATATAGTTCCTTTTTGCCGATACTCCAAAGTGCCTTTCTCCTTTGCAACTAAGATAGTATAACAGTTGAACCTTCCGTTTTCCATGGAAGAGAGAATAGATATCCTGCATCGCAACAAGTTACCTTATTGCTAGAGTCATATGTTTATGAGCGAATGATAACTATGTCTATTCGAGATTAGCTTCGGCTTAGTTCAATCACTTAAATTATCGTAATCTTGTTCAAATCCCTTGCTCTGGCCCGTCGAACAAATTGGGCTCGCTAGTCGTTAATGGCACACAAGCAGTACCATCTCATACAAGAAATCCCCTCACTCTTAACAAAGTAATGACTCTTGGCACAAAAGGAGTACATTTCATACAAGAAATCCCCTCACTCTTAGCAAGTAATAACCCCAATAAATGTAATTTAGAATCTTCGTGCTGCTAGAACAACACCAACGTTTTTTAACGTTTTTTAAGAATAACCTGCTCCATCATGATAGGTCATGATGGAGCAGTTTATTGATCCTAACTATCTGAGACATTTGCACACTAACTGAAGAAGAATTTGCCAAGCTTTGCACTAAAACCGAGCTCCAGCGGAAGCGCTACCCGCAGTGTTTCCTTGGTCCACGTTGCCTCAGCGAGTACAGCATGTTCAAGATACGCAAGGATACACACAAAAAAATGTGCCCACCGCTCCTCGTTGTTAAACCGTTCATGTTTAACAATTTGATCAAATGAAACATACAGCAACACTCACATCTCACTCAGCGTCAAGAGTTACTGATAAGCAAGTTTGAAGTGATAAGAGGACGAATTTACCAATCAATTACAGTGATTTTCCTACAACGGCAGAAAAACGAGGACTCTTTCATAAATCCACTTATATTTTAATGACTATGACCTTACTATCTTGATGATTTGAAAATCAGGCAAACTAAAAAATGTACGATTTTTATGCGCTAGCAATGTAACAATTAATAACACAACAAGGTTGATACAACCACGTGCCCTAGCCAACACGCAAAACGAATAGGAGAGAAAATAGAGAAAAACTAAAACCAACTAGCGGCTTGGGATATGCACATGTGTGTGCGCTGTGCACAGGCTCGCTATGGATTCTGTAGATCAGAATACTGTGTCATCGTTATCGGCTAAGCATAACACACTAATATTCGGTGATGAAGAACTTTCTTGATCAATCTTAATTACAAACAAGTCTATGATATAAACAAACGGTCAAGTTAACAACATTAGCAAAACGTGGGAACAGAAGAATACAAAAAATACACAATCTCTGTAACTCTTGACATAATCATCATACATCTCGCTGTGATTGACAGTGCTTAAGGCGAGTGGCTACGGGGATAACGCGGAAACACCTCATTAAGGGGTTCACTTTAGTGTAAATTTTATACAAATACAACTCTACTTACTACTGTGGGTAAAACATGAAAGCGATAGAAAATCTGTCGCTGAGCACTGCAAACATTGAAAATACACATTATGTTGGTAGTGTAGAGCTAAATGGTACCGAGATTACTGTAGCCCAGGCAATTTCTCAGTGTGGATTACAGTCAACTCGGATGAAGATAGAATGTGAAGGAAAACATTGACGAAACACAGTTCGCCTTTCTTTACATCACTGCGGGATTAACATTTGCGACCTGCATTCCGGTCATGTCATATTGAGGATGCTGGTGTTGTTGTGCATGATTGTACTGCTGTTTTTGGAAGTACTTCTCAAGTTTGGCTAAAATAGGGCATGTTATAAGAAATAGAATAGTGCGTAAAATAGAAAACTCACTGATTATATGCTTTCCATAGCTATATTTGCGCAGTACCGGGATATGTGGTTTTATCGCATACATCATCTTTTTACGATAAACCGGATCTGCGATGTCTAACATCTTCTGTACAACGTAGTTTGCAAATTGATCTTTCATCATTAGCAAAATAGGCGGTTGTGGGCTAAAACAGAAGCAAAATATTTTTTATCAAAACTTGAAATCGAAGCACGCAAAAGAACTGCACATCGCAATGCTAACTACTCACTCATTCGGTGTGCCGCAGACTTCATCGATGAGGAGCGTTTTGTGATGACTACCAGCACATATTAAGCATTTTTCGATAACATTCGATGCAAATTTGTGTTGTGCGTATCGGAGAACATTGCCTGCCACCTAAGAAGGTATTAGTAGTAAAAATTAATTCTTAACTGGTTATCAATAACTTGAAAAATGATTCTGTATGACAGTTCTTACCTCTTGCACAATTCTATCTCTATCCGAATTGCTTCCATGCTCGATTACATGCTGTACCACGTAGTTCCCGTACTGATCAACAATCAACGTACTCATGTTCGCATGTAGTGCTTCCAAAACGGGTCGCTTCTGTTCTTCCGAACAATGTTCCAACACTCTTTGTATTACCCTACATCCATATGGATGCATTGACAATTGGGTAATCTACAAAAAAGTGCTTAAAGTATACATATAGCAGAAAATCATCTTGCACCCAAAAAACTTACCGTGTCAGGACCATTCTTCGTAAATGTGTTGATGATAAACTGAAGACGTTCCGGTTTCACCTTTTCGATAACCTTCTGCACAACGTGATTGCCATTCTGATCTTTAACGCACTTCAGCACCTGAAACTCTCGACTTCCTACTACAATAGCTTACTGTTGGAGATGGTCGGGAAAATTCCTCACGTGTCCTTCCATTTCTTTGAGAATTTCAAGTTGTAACGACTCATCGATGGATTCCATAGCCTTCTGAATCACTCGGCATCCATACATTTGCAGCGCTAAATTCATCACATTCCCCTTCAGTGAGCGTCCCAGTGCTGCTTTCTGCTCCGGTGTACCAAATTCAAAGAACTTCTGCAAGAAATATCTAGTTTATCTCTTATTTTTCCGCTACATAGCAGAATTAATCTACCTGGATAACATAGTTCCCGAATACATCAACCATTAACGCATGAGCATTTGCTAGCACCTCTTCGAACAACAGTTGTTTCTCTTTTACAGACGCTCGTTCAAGTTTCTGCTGGATGAACCTATAACAAGAAGAAAAATGTAAGAGCAAATACTATTCTGCTTGATACTTTTGGCATGAGATCGACAACATGAGGCCTATAAAATGAGGACGCACCTAGACCCGTGCTGATCTTTAGCAAATTCAACAACATGCGACAGAATGTCAGTGATTTGCAGCGGAGGAGTTCGGTTGTTACGGAAGTCCTCGAGGATATGACTACGATTTCCTGGTATCCTAAAAAATTATTTTGAAGGAGACCACAGATATGCACAAGATCATTTCTACCGCCAAAGTTTAATAAGTTTGATAAAACTATTACAAACGCAATAAGCCCTGCTTCGAGTATTTTTAATAGTTTCACCAATGAGACAAAAAAGGAGTGGAAATTGCAAATGGTGAACAACAAGCAGACCTCGGTCCTGTGTCATCCATTAGTCTTCTTTGATGCATCCCATTAAACGGTGAAACATTATTCGGTTGAGGTTGCGGATTGAAGAATGGCCCACGAGAACCACCATAGCCGGGCAAGGCGCTTCCGGGAGCCAAACTCATATTTTGTATACCATTTATGGCACTACCTGGTTTGTTAACATTTTCTTTTATATGAAATTCTAACTTGTGAAGATAAATTACCAAAAAAGGTCGGGCTATTGCCAAGAGTAGGCGTCTGAGGATTGGACTGATTATATTGCATATACATCATATGAGGGGCGGTCAGGTTTTGGAGCGCATTGGATTGACCTAAGAACCCTTGTTTGATGAAAATGAGAACTGGAAAGGAAGTGAGGTGTAAGGTGTACAACAAACCCGGAAATGGTTGATCGTGACGCAAGGGGCTGGTGATCTGTGGTCCACCAATTGATAAGTTCGATAAACTATTCGTCACTCCTAGCATTGGATTTTGATAAGGAAATGGAGGTGAAGTAGAGAACATGTTCGTTGATACCGTTCCTGGACCACCAATAGGCATTCCCAAACCTATACTAACAGCATAAACATCATTTGGATAAGAAGATGGGAAAAATCTATCCACCTCCACTCTTCTTCATGCATTCGTCGCTGTTCGATGTGGTGGGGGCTTGATGTGGTGGATACATGCCACTCCATGCTCCATACCCGAATCCTGGTGCAGCCGGAGAACCGGAGCCAAATGGCATTGCAGTATTTCCACCAATGACGTGTCCGCCTTGGAATAAAAACGGCGCCATCTGTAAGTGACAAAGCCAGATAGAGAGCTAGAGGTCATTGAGACAAAGCATTCAAAAAAAATTTCGTCATGTTTTCATATGCAGGGGA